TTTTTTTTTTTTTGACTTTTCATAGCTCGGTATTAACAAATATATAACTTTTATTATTATTACCAACAACTTATATTGCGTATTTTCTTATTTGACACAAATAGATCAACATATCGCACCTTTTAATTAACTGCTACAAATACAAGACAACAAAAATGCAAAATTATAAAAGTAATTGGTTGTGGATCATGACCAATAATGTCTAACTTTTTTTTTTGGTAGCCAGCCACAGTATCCGGAGCTATGCCCCGACTAATCCGTTGGTCGACCCGAGTCGCAGACCTGACAGTGATGGGTGAGTCTCCCAACAAGGGTTTTCTGCATCCAAAAGAGCTCGAATCCGAGACCTTGCTTAAGCGACATCATGCTGCTTACCACTCTAATTTTAATTCACTAACCTGGACTCGAATGTAAACTTATTGTCCTGTTAGAATCGCACATTCGAGCATTATCCTGTTGGGGTCGTCTTTGTCTTTTTGTGTTTTTCTGCGTTTTTAGAGTATTTTCATGTTGGAATCGGGTTTAGGCGGTCTTTTGACCTTTCCTCTCAGTTTTTTCAGCTGTTGAGTTCTTGTATTCGGCTGTTGGTTGTTTGTATTTAGCTTGTGCCCTGTAATTTTGTCCGCATTTTTATACTATCTCTATCGTTTTAACCAAAAAAAAAAAAATCATTGACTTGCAGCAAAAATCATCTAGTGGGCGATTAATTAGTAAACACACGATTTGTACCCAAAAAAAAAAAAATTAGTAAACACACGATTTAAATTATAGCTAGCAGATATGATATATCTAATTGCTACATGCCAATATTTTGACCAAACCTTATGTCACGCCGCTCATTTAATGTAAATTAAACCCCAATTGCTTTAATTTCATTTTTTTATTTTTCTTTCTTTTTTTTAATACAAGGATTTTCCAGTTTTCGGATCCACAGGGAAACCGACTAATCCGAAATTAAGAGAGAGAGAGAGAGTCAAAATATAATCCTTTGTCAAAAGAGTGATGATGAATAGTTCTCAACTCTCGGCCCACAGAGATTAACGCCAAAAGTCGTGGAGAAAAGTCTTCACTCAAAACCGACACAAAAATATTAAAATAAACATAAAAAAATAATAATAATTAATTAAATAAATTTCACCTTTTCAAACACACACACACAGCACACACTCATTCGCCGTGTTTTGACTTTCCAATTTTTCGAGCCTTTAAACCTTTCTGGCTGTTTCCTTCTCACACACACACACTATATATATACACAAAAATAACCAAATCCTCTCAATCATCAGATCAAAAATCCTCAACGCCTCCACAAAAGTAGAAAAAAAAAAAAAACAATCAGCTCTAACAAAAGAAGACTGACCTTCAATTACTCGCCGGAAAATGGCCGAAATCGACGTCCCGCCGTATTTCCTGTGCCCAATCTCGCTGGAGATCATGAAGGACCCCGTCACCATCCCCACCGGCATTACCTACGACCGTGACAGCATCGAGAAGTGGGTGTTCTCCGAGAGGAACGCCTCCTGCCCCGTCACCAAGCAGCCTCTCTCCGGCGCGGCGGACCTCACCACCCCCAACGTCACCCTCCGCCGCCTCATCCAGTCATGGTGCACCCTCCACGCCGCCCACGGTGTCGAGCGCCTCCCTACCCCCAAGCCGCAGGTCACCAGATCCCAGCTCACCAAGCTCCTCAATGACGCCAAGGCCGCCCCACAGATCCAGATCAAGTCCCTCCAAACCCTCAGATCCATCGCCTCGCAGAACCAGACCAACCGGATCTCCATGGAGAACGCCGGCGTCGCCGACTTCTTAGCCTCGCTCATCGTCGACAACACCCTCCACCAATCCTCCCGGCCCGAATCGACCGGGTCGGACCCCTCCGGATCGAGAAAAGCCTGCGAGGAGGCTGTAGCCACACTCTACGCGCTCCAGTTATCCGAATCGAGCCTCGAGTCCCTCGCCCAAAGCCCCGAGTTCCCGGAGGCCCTTACCCGGCTCATCCCCCACGCGGGCTACGAGTCCCGGGTCCAAGCCATCGTGATCCTCAATTCGATGCTCGAAACATCCGACCCGACCCGCCAATTCATCCTCCGGTCCGAATTCTTCCTGGAGCTCGCCGAGATCCTCCGCTCCCAAGACGTTTGTCAAAATGTCTCAAAGGCCGTTCTAAAGATACTGATATGCACCACCCCCTGGGGGAGGAACCGGGTCAAGGCTGTCGAGGCCGGGTTGGTACCCGTTCTGGTCGACTTTCTGCTCGACTTGGCCGATAAACGGGCCTGCGAGTTGGCGCTAATAGCTCTCGACCTCCTCTGCCAGTGCGCGGACGGGAGGTCGGAGCTGATCAAGCACGGGGCAGGCCTTGCTATCGTCTCGAAAAAGATTCTTAGGGTTTCGAACTCGGCTAGTGAGAGAGGGGTTCGGATTTTGCACTCGGTTTCGAGATACTCGGGGACTCCCGGGGTTTTGCAAGAGATGCTGCAAATGGGAGTGGTGGCCAAACTGTGCCTGGTTTTGCAGGTGGATAGCGGGCCCAAGACGAAGGAGAGGGCCCGTGATATTCTGAAGATGCACGCAAGGACCTGGAGAGCCTCGTCTTGCATACCTACCGGGCTGGTCTCGGCCTACCCGTCTTGAGATCGAATGGGAAATTAAATTCACTTTTGTAAAAAGATACGGTTTTTTGTTTGGTTTGGTTAATTTAGTTCAGACATATATTGTACGTAGATTGTTTTGGTTTTAGCAAGTGATTAGAAATATACCGGCATTAGTGATGGGGGACGAAAAAAAATTCGCCAAAATTGAAGTATTTTTACTGGAGTTAAATTGGATAACAGTTTTGTTGGGAGCTACATTACTCATTTCTAATGGAAGCTTAAGTAATCATTTGATCCACAGATTATTATCGTCTCTTTTCATTGCTGCTTTCATTTTGTCTTTAGGTTATAATATGAAGAAGATGATACTCAAGACGAAATTACAACAATGGCTAACTTAACTAAAAACCACTGATCTTATACAACAACTAGAATTTAGAAACAAGTGTAATGTTACAAAGAACATAATTTGTGACATGCATTTTAACGAAGAAAACCCTCGAATAGTATTCCTTTTTCTTTTTCCCACTTTCACTAGTTTCCAGTTTCGATCGACAAATCAGTTCGATACTTGGATAATTAACCCTCGAACTGTAGCTTCTTTTGTTCATTTTCGTTTTAATAGATCTCGCCATCAGTTTCGACGAAGCAATCTACGGCTTGGTGCAACACTCTAGAACAATATTAACGATATTGTTGATAGTCTATGTTTTAAACTTTCATAAAACATCATAAACTTTAAGTATGTACTGTAGGGTGTGCAACTCTTTCTATTACCAATATATAAGCTTGGTGGACTACTCATTCTATTGTCATTGGTTTTAGAATGAAACCACATGTGGGCTTGTATGTTGGGCTTGATGGAGAACTGTGTTTGAGTTGTTGGTCCTAACAATTGATATCAGAGCCACAGTTGGTATCTCAATTATGATGTGGATGACGTGGCATGTTCCGTGGAGCTGGAGAGCCGGTGGATCCATTTGCCTTGTGTCGAAAGTCTTTCTGGCGAAAGAGTGATCAGACGCCGTGTTCCGTGGGTGATAACGACGATACAAAATAGTCGGATCGTATGAATTTCATTCAAAGGGAGGCCCAAGTATTTGGTCTTGTGTTTGAGGGGAGGTTTGTATGGTGTGCAAATGTAATCCCACATTGGAAAACTAATAAGTTACAAGTCCAATATAAGTTTGGGGAACAATTCCTTCTGTTGTCAAATGATTTTAGAGTGGAATCTCATTTGGGATTGTATGTTGGGCTTGGGCTATTGCTCCTTACATGCACACACCTAAAAGAGATTGTTTTGTTATTGAACTGAACTCAAGGTTGTAGTTTGTACTTAACATGCAAACTCCCATCGTATTGGTTCCCATTTTATTGATTTACTAGCATTCATCTTGTGCACATGCACAAAGAAAAATAAAAAATTATATATTATATGTATGTATACAATATATAAAAATTTTATACTAAATAATTGATGTATTACATTATTTTAAATTTTGACTACATGCAAATGTGTAATGTAAATATAATTTATTTAACTTACGTATGAATCTTTATATTGATGTTATAAATTTTAATGGCTAATATAATTTAGTAATTTAGAGAGACCATACAATTAATTAGTTAGAAAAGTATTACAATTATTTTTATCATTGTTATAGCATTTATTGTGATTTTAAAGTGTTTAATTATGACATTCATGCCAATTAACTAACATTAGTTAAAAATAGCTTAAAAAGAACAAAAATTTTTTATTTTAGAAAAAGTATGAAAAAATTTGTAACTTCCACATACTATTTAATGTAAAGTTGTAATCAATTAGTGTTAGTAGTGAATAAATTAGATTAAAATTATTATTACACTTTATTAATGTAAAACGTAACAGTTGTACATTAATTGAAAAAATGAGCGGGAAAATGAATAAAAGTTTTATTAATTAGGTTTTATTAAATACTATATGCCAACAATTATATATATAGATTTATTTATTTAATGTTTTTATTCGCCCATCTATTTTTAATGGAAATTAAATTCACTTTTGTAAAAAGATACGGTTTTTTGTTTGGTTTGGTTAATTTAGTTCAGACATATATTGTACGTAGATTGTTTTGGTTTTAGCAAGTGATTA